AGTTGTAATTTGATTTGCCAATTCTCGTTTCCATCTTTTTTTTTCTTTTCTGTCCCACTCTCTGACACCAATTTGTTACGTATCTTGCTTGTTTGTTTGTTTCCAGTATAAATTCTTTCCAAGGATCTTCAGTGGTACAAGTCCTTTCTTGATTAAACTAGTTTATTCTTCCTCGATACAAACTTTTACTACACAGTAGCTCCGCAATCAGTACGTTTCTCGTCACTTTAAACTTAACAACTTTTATAGTACACGCTATAAATCACAGCAATTCATAATCTCGATAACTTCGCTCTCAACGAGTGCAGAACAACGACTTTACGGTTCACTAGCTTGAAACTAACAGAATCACAAACTACATGGAACTACTGCTCTCTCTTCATTTATATATCCCCCCGCCGGCTTTCCTCTGCCAGGCTTATATACTAACGAAGAGGTCATCTACAACACACTCGGACTTCCCTGATCATTCGAGAAACTCATCACGCACGCCACCAGCGCCAACGCGTAGCAGCGTCACGTGACTTCCGCTGTCGTAACAGTACTTTCTCAGTTATACATACTTGCTATTGATCGACATTAACATAGAATATTAGGGTAAATTATTATATTATAAACTAAATGTGATAGTTGTCCAATTTAAAGTTTAATGTCATTATGAGAGTCATGAGAGTGGCATAGAATTACGTTACCCTAGTTTGAAGTGACATGAGTTTCTCATAAATTGTTTTCTTTTCAAACTCTAAATTACTTTTTTTTCTAGAATGACTGCAGATTGTAACTCAAAACTACATTCCTTGATCCTGAAAAGCTTACAGCTTATAACATTTTATAACTTTTAATACTTAATTTTATTGTTTTATTCCCCTTTTAAAACGTGAATAACTAAAACACTGCCAGTGCTCAGTCTCTATATGTATAGGTATTTGGTCATTGTACACGACTGGGGAGGATCAGGTTTTAAACAGACCTTTTCTTCCTGCAGAGTGCTCAGCCCAATCTACGGTATTTAATTACATAATTCGCGGCTGGCACGCGTTCAGTGTCAGTCCTCGGTGCAATTTAAGCTTTAAATTTTTACAATTATGTTTCTATTACACTAATTTTTTTTTAACCTAAGAACACAGAATAATAACAGGCGACAACCCAACAATATGTTGTAACTATTATAATTTAATCGGGTTTCTAGCTATTGTACAAGCGCCTTAAAAAATTCATTCGATACTATGAGCTATGTCTTTTATACCGTAGCGAAAAACAACAACAACATTAATGTATACATCATTCATAGATTAAAACTTTGTTTTTCTATTGAATATAATTTAGATGAGGTAAAACATCAAAACTGTTTATTGGCTAGATCTGAAATAGAGTATATATTAGAGGTGCATCTCACTTTCTAATTGATAGCT